ACCCCAAGCTTGCCATCCCTGCTCTGTCGTTGAAGTCTGCGCACCCCAAGCTTGCCATCCCTGCTCTGCGATCCGTTTGCGAGTTGGCGCTGCATCTGGGTGCCAGCGTTTGGCCAGGTATGGGGTAGGGTGTCCTCAAGGGCCTGGCAGGGGGACTGTCAGGATGTAAGTCAGGATGTAGAGTTGGATGGGCTGTCATGGGTGGTTGTCTCCGTCTTTCGCGGCTGGGCTGTCAAGTGTGTTCGGATGGTATGGGAAGGCTGTTCGGGGCTGCTCTGTGCCGTGGAGCCGTCAGCATGTGGAAGAAACCCGTCAAGGGTGCAACAGAAAGTGTCAACATACCCTAAAACTTGGCAGCTTACTACATTCGGAGATCGTAGAGCAAGTCGGAAGCTTTCGCCTTGTTGACGGTGCACCTCTCCGCCAGAAGGATACTAAGATACTAAGTCGCATCCACTACTAGCTCGTGCCTGCCAGCCACATGCCTGGCAAGGTTCTGACAACTTTGGCACAGTGTGTTTTGGAGGATGCCCCTCTGACTTCATGGCACCTGATAGCAGCAGATGCTTGGAATGCACTAGACCGGAACGGTGGCACATCTATGCCTGATGATATCTGCAATTCGAGGTCCTGGTTGCTATTTCGACGGTGCTGCATGCGCAGTATCCACCAGTGCAGCTACAACGGGCGAAAACGATGTGAGAGCAAGGGGGTTGGGAAATTTGGAGGTTGCCAAGCAGTCATCCGTATACAGTAACTGCATGGAGTATACAGGGCACGTTAAGATGGGGGACCCGGGTGGTTTGTAGTTACATGGTTACACTTTGCGAAGTCGCTTTCCTTTGAGCAGCCCACGAAGGTGAGTTGCCTACTTGGCTTTGCCACTGCAACAACCCTGGACGGCTTTAAGACTTGCGAAAGTGTGAGCATGAAGGAGATCAATCTCTCCTGTTGGCACGCTTCACAAGCCATCATGTGATGTCCATTAGTCAAGGTGCTGCTGGCTGCTCCTGACATGTTTTCCTGCCTGAGCTCTCGTGTCGTACTCTCGATCAGCCGCAAACTCCCTCCCTGTTTCTGCCCGAGCAGGCAGGCAGACATGCACTCAGTTGAGCAATGTTTGGCTGCCTTGATTTTATTTGACTTTGAACTGTCTGCTTCTGCAGATGTTCAAAGAGCACCCTCAGCTGAAGCTGCAAGCATAGTGTCGTGGGTGGCTGCTGCAGCTTCGGTCTGCAAGAACCCACAAATGTCCCGCAGCTGCTTCATAGATGGGGAGACACGGGGGAGACACTTCAACTTCAGTGCAAAAGTTGGTTTTCGGAATCCCTGTTTCCGCCCGCATGCCTCCGATTAAACTTATGGAATGTATCAACCGTAGCATAGTAGCAGAACTCAAACGAGTTCTGACTTCACGTGGTGAATCTGACAAACAGCAGTCTCCCATGTGATAAAGAAGCTTGTCGTTACAGCACATAGCACACGTGCTGGCTTTGAGATGCTTCAACTGTCACGACGACTTGCATCACAATGCCTGTGGACAGGTCGGAAAAACAAGTTCACCCTGGAGAAGGATATGGTGTCTCGTGGAGAAGTACCAGAGCAGGTGGACGGCATCTCAGAATGTGTGGTGGAAGCCAATTCGGTTTCAAGAGATATGATGGTGTGCGGCTTTTTTGCACTGTTGGAGCATCGCTTCAGGCTCGTCGGGCCATCCACATCATGACGCGGCGCGGTGAACTGGAGGTGTGCAGAATCGGAGCGAGATCTCTCCTTGAACCTTTTCGGGGAAACGACTGTGCCTACACGCAGGAGAAAGCTCACAACACTCTTCGAAGAGCGTGAGGCCACACTGCACCGCGTGCTGAAGGCCCTGTTTGGTGCTGAAGGCCCTGTTGTTCAGGTCTTGTTTTTTGCTGCCAGCGCTGGCAGTCCTGGGCACACCAGAAGTGCTCTGCTCAGATGCTGGAGCTGCAGGTTGCGTGCAGGCCATGTGCTCAGACGAGGCCTGGCCTCCGTGATATCTCGGGTGGGTTTCCTGAGAGTCCTGCCATGGCTGCAAAGTGAAGGCAAATGTGTCTCTTTGTTTTATTTTGGGGCATATGCGCAGAAGAGACTGGTCTGCCCATGGCTAATTCGACCCTGAGTCGATGATTGATCAGCTTTGTTGTTTCTGAAGTGAGCAGTCTCTTCGTTCGCAGAGATGTTTTGTTTCTGGCGGGTTTGGCATTCTGCGGAATGCATCCTGCCAACCGGGTTAGCCCAAAGGTAACTTAGACTTCTGAGACAAGTGGCCTTGCTGCTACATTGGAGCCACATAAGCGACAAAGACGAGTCTTGGAAATACCTGCTTGCTCGGAGCTCATTCCAGATCGCTCTCACCGGATCGGAATGGCCACTCGCAAGCACTTCGCAAAATGTTTCGAGCACCATTCTGTATGGGTGCAGGTGTCGATAGCTGCAGTCAGGGCTGAGTTGATTGAACTGCAGCTTCTGGCTACCAGTTTCGGTTGTGTGCGCTGCTCATAACCAGGGGGCACAGGCCCAAGCCCGCTGTTGCCCTTGCCTTCTCATGTCAAGTGCAACCTTGGGTCTGGAGGTGAATGGCCAATGAAGAGCTGCTGCAGAAATTGTGCCGGCAGTCGCTTTCTCGGGCTCAGAACCCTGGGAGAAACGTGGTGACATTGGCTGGTTTCAGGCGGCTTCGCATGGGCGAAGATCCGTTGCCGTTGCCTGTAGGGACCCGCCCGCTGGACCAGACAAAGGAGAGGTGAGGCCCTTGGTCCGCTTCTTAGAACCTGAGCTCAGCCCGACTCCTTGTGAGGCGCAGCCGACGTGATGAGCTGGTCTCGCTGGAGAAGAAGGGCGAGGACGGGCGGGGTCGCTCTGCCGCTCGTGCGATGCAATGCCTCGGAGCGCTTCAGGTGTCGCAGCGGGCTCGAAAGTTTCAGAGTACCGACAGTCCCGGGCCGGAAGCCTTGAGCAAAGCCTTGAGAAGACGTCAGTCCTGGCCATGGCCTTTCGCCTGCCCAGGCCATCCCCGTCTCGAACACCTGGACGCATTAACCTTGATTGCCTGAAGCTCAAAGATCTGAATCGAAACCTGTGCAGCTGGAGCTTGCGGTAGCAGTCAGTGGTCTCTGCAGGAGCCTAACGGAATCGTGAATTCATGTGCTCTGTGATTCGAATGCGGGATCGGGGAACACATGCGACTGTCCCGCACTCCACGCCAGAAAACTCATCCTCCCATGCTCTGTGACTTTGTGTTCACTTCTTGTGACCAAATCTTGCATTGACATGGCTGCTATGAAATCCTGCTGGGAATGTGCACGAGTGCAGCAGTCACTTCAAACGCTCAACCTTTGAGCTTGCGACGTCTGAGACGTCTGAGGTTGGGAGCAGCGATGCCGTGAGAAGGGCTCCTCGCAGGCTTGCAGGGAGCGGCACCAGCTAGCGGCTTCCTGCGGACTCTGCGGTCGCAGGAGATGGAGGCCTCGGCCCAGGCCATGGGTTTGGAGCCCATCGAGGAGAAGCCGCAGCCGCAGCCTGGCCATGGCCCGGGCCATGGCCCGGGCCGGCATCTCGAGGAGGCCGAGGAGGCGGAGGAGGCGGAGGAGGCGGAGGACGTCGCGGCCTCCGCGATGCGTCTAGTGGATCCCGGCTCCATGGCCTGTCTGGAGCAAGCTTCGAGCAGCACGGAGATGCCCCCTGACGGTCTGCAGGAGATGCGCATTGCACGTGGGCTCTGTTACTTGAGACTTGCAGGACTCAATTGGTCAGACTGTACAGAGAAGACCTGCATTCCAGGAGGTCGCCTTGCTGGAAGGGGAAACCAATAGCAAGAAGGCACGTGCTGTTGATGCAGTGTCGACAAGCAGCCCACACGGCCAGCGGGGAGAAGCAGAAGAACGAGAACGGGTGCAAAAGAAGAAGACAAAACTGAAGGCCAGAAGAAGAACTGAAAAGAGGATTTTTTTCACCTCGGCGGTCGCCTTTCACGAGCTTCGCATCATTTCGCATCGTGCCGGCAACGGACCTAGGTATGTGCCTCCACGCAGAAGGGCTGTGCTCGCTTGGGCACACAGAGGCAAAGGGGACCACGAACCACAGCAGCCCAGTAGGGCCTCACTCCTGCAGGCAGGGAGAAGGAACAGAAAAGGAACAAGAAGAAGGGCAAGCAAATGACAGAGGGGGAATGCAAGCAAGTGACAAAGTCCAAGAGAAGAAGAATAGGGGTAAGAAGGAGAATAACAGAATCACAATAATAAGAGTGAGAGCAAGCAAGCAAGTGAGCAAGCACGCAAGAAAGTGAGCAAAGACAAAGTCGAACAAGGAGAAGGATAAGAGCAGCACGACCACAACCAGTAACGTCAGTAATGACATGCACGGAGAACGAAGCGGCGCAGGCAGCAGAGCAAAGTTTTTGGTATTTAGGTGGTTGCTTGTCTTACAAGTAGCAGTAATACTGCGCATTCGAAGGTTGGGTTTGGTAATGGAGCCGTGGTACTGCTCGTAAGCATGAGCAAAGCGATGCTGATGGACGCAATCTTCGTCACCGTCACCATCATCGTCATCCTCATCATCATCATCGTCACCACCGTCATCATCCTTATCATTATCATCATCATCATCACCATCGAGAAGACCGACACTTATCTGACAGAAGGTTCAGGTAGGCACGAAGAGGACGAGGAAGCACAGAGATGCAAGCGTCACCGTGTCACCGCCAAGCTTTGTGCAATGCCGAAGGCTCCTGAAGCCGAGTGTTTCTGCATGTGGGACAGCGACGAAGAAAATTGCCGGGGTCTCAGCTGGTTGCAACGCAACCCAACGCAGCGCAGCCCACCCACCCACCCACCCACCCACCCACCCACCCACCCACTCACCCACCCTCCCACCCACCTAGAGTATCAGTCAGTCAAGGAACGGAGCAAATTTTCGAAAGGGCTGCCCACAAAACAAGTGGAATGCTTGGACAGCCTTCTACCCACTGCGGTTTTTATGAAACTGAAGCTGATTCTACTCGTGGTATTGTCTGAGTCAGCTTACACTGTTTCAAGCGTTCCTGTTCTCTGACTCGCCAAGTAGCATGACTGTTCCAGCCTGTCGTTAGCGGTGTGGCAGGCATTTTCAGCCATTGAGAGACTCTGGAAGTGTATTGAAGAGCTTACGCCTACGGGACAAGATTCTTGCTTCCCAAGGCATGACACAAGATGACTTGGCATCCAACAGGCCGGTTCTCCCGTTGTTGGCCTGGAGCAGCCAGTCCACCTTAAAGGTCTGCAGCTGATCTGGATGCAGAGGCGCTGGGGTGAGGAGCACCGTGCCCGAGACATCGCGTTGCGGGCAGGAGCCTCTTGAGTTCTCCATGCTGGACTACCTGGCAGAGCTGCCCGAGGACTGGAGCTCTCGCGTGTGCGGACTTTAGCGGCACATCGATGCCCCTGTCAGGGTGTTGCAGAAAAGCTTCAGCGTTGTTTGAAGACGCATGAGGAGTTGGTGCAGGGCGCCCAGTTTCAAGACACGTGCAGAACAAGCCCTGCAGTACCCGTACAGTCCCGTGCAGCTCCAGCTCCATGTCGCCAGGAGGAGATTGTGTCAGAGGAACGAGCTCCTCCAGGCAACGGCCCCATGGTGGACTGGCCGCGGAGCGTTGGTTGTCAGAGCTGAGGCCCACGTCCGAAACATTCGCTGTGATGGCTTGGAGGCTTGCACTGTCTGTCCCCATTCGACAACAGGAACCGCGAGGTACTTGCCTTGCCCTCCAGGCCAGAGTGTCTCCAATGACGCCGCAGCAGTCGAAGAGTTTTCCTTTCTCTCCCATGGCTCTGCCAAGAAAATCGCCGCAGGCATGCTCTTGCATTCTGTTGCCCTGCTGCATTTTCTGTACAAAGCCATCCCAAGGCAGCGGCGGCATTCAGCAGCCGCACGGTGCAGAGGGAACCAAGGCAAGCATCTTTATTTGCATCGTAGGGTGAGCAGCTATGTCAGCTAGGTCCTAGGTTCAACATTGCAGCCTTGCTCGAGAGGCTGGTGAAGCCAATCACATCTAAATCGGTCGAAGCTTTGCTGCAATAACTCTCAAGATACATTCCTCATCACATGCGGGATCTTTGCAGGCCGAACGTGGTTCTACGAACCAGGGCTGTTTGGCCGAGCACGAGGTGCATGGCCCGTCGAAGTGCTCAGATCCTTTGGTATTCAGCATGGCAGGCGACCCTGAGAGCGAGGCTGCAGCGCACCATCAAAGCCTCCAAAGAGCGAGTGCAGGTAATGCAGAGGCGGCATCGATTGAGCCGAAGTGCCAACTCAGGGTGCAAGGATGCCGTCAGATAACACCTATCCGGTCTGTGCATGCAGGCGTGTGGAGCGCGAAGAGCAGCAGGTCAAGAATCGTTTCGAGGCAAGTCGTGTGTCTCCCTGTTTCGACGTGCTTTGGTGATTTCGGCCAGGTCGCCATGCAGACCCGAGAAGGAATGGAGCGCAGCATCAAGGCAAGCGCTGTGGTTCCAGAGTCCTGAGCAGTAAAGTCTGTCCGAAGGCTGCCCTTAGGGAGCACAGCTTGGCGAAAGTGCGAATCGCCGAACTTGAGGACTTCCACGATGCTTTTGGCTTTAGAGCCTTCGAGCAGGTTGCACCACTCTCGTCTATCTTTTGTCCTTGGAGGAGGCGATCAGCATCGATGCAGCTCGCTGTCGAGCCAGGGAGAAGGCCGTTGCACAATGTCAGAAGGTTTTTGAGTCAATCTGAGTCGCCCAGCAACGCTGCCGGTCCTATGCTCAAGACGAAGTTCCAGCATTTCAAATTTGGCATCTTCTGGCAGGAGCGCGAAGAACTCTCTGAGAAACAGACAGGCCTTCGCAATGAGCTGAAGGCGTGGATAGCTTCATGAGCATGTGTGTCGTTGGGATTCGTGTGACGGTCAGTTCGTTAACAAAATAGTGACCTTTCACATGTGTAGGTAGGTTGTGTGTGTGTATATGTGTATGTATGTATGCACGTATGTATGTATGTATGTATGTATGTATGTATGTATGTACGTATGTAGGTATGTATGTAGGTATGTATGTAGGTATGTATGTAGGTATGTATGTAGGTATGTATGTAGGTATGTATGTATGTAGGTATGTACATTCAGTTTAGCTTAGTTCGTCCTAGTAAGTTCAGTTTAGTCGTTCGCTGGGACGAGCTCGGTTAACTCAACTGCTTCTTCTATGGTAAGTTCGACATAGTTCGGGATTGTAGCCTGGACTTCAGTTTAGGCAAGCTCGTTGAATTTAGTTGTGATGCTGGTGAAGCCACCGAGGCACGACTCTAGGTTCTTCTGTTTCTAGTAGTGCCACTTTATAGTGGCATTCAGTAGCTTATCTTGGCGAGCTTCGGGCCCTGTGCGTCAAGAGAGTTCATAGGGCGGTTTGGTTGTTTATGTGGGTTTGTAGTTTGACTGTGCGGCCTCGAATACTGGAGAATTAAAACATCGCACTGTTGACTCGCATCCTGTGCCCATGCAGTGAAAACGAACAATCCTGACGTGTACGCACTGGCAGAAAAAAGCATAGACAGCTGCACACAGTTTTCTCATCCTGATAAGAGTGAACTGATCGAGGGGGAGAAATTGTGAGATCTGCTTTCGGTTCATGTCATGTCGCGAGCTCATGCAGGCCCAGCGGAGCAGGGCCTCAAACCATCAGAAGTGCGAGCGTCGCATTCAGGAGAGTCTCTTTTAGAATTAAGCAGCTTCTTTTCAGTGGAGTTCCTGTATTCAGAGCGCAGGACCTGCAACGTGAGCTGGAGGCACGTTCTCTTTCACAAATCCTGTATTCCCATAGCCGAGTCACCGTGTCACAGCCTTGCCCAAGGCATTGACCAAGGCCTGCCACTCCGAAAGTCCCAGGTGGGCTTTGTGAATGCAGCGGTGCAGCGCCAGATGCAAATTCGATGCCTAATTAGGGTTCCCCGAAACAAACCGTGTACAGATCCTAGTAGAGCGGCTCAGCTCTAATTCAGTGAGGCTCTAGCACAGGGGTGTGCCCGCTACAAAGCAGTCACCGGTCATGGCACAGATCTGCGATCCCAGCGACAGCGAGTATCTCGTGCTGGAAGTCAGTCCAACACCTGTTGCTGCCTTGCACGTGCTTGTTGCCAGCTCAGGGGAGGTGGCTAACAGAGAAACCAACGCAACTAGTGTGATTCAAGCTCCGAGTAAGTTCAGCTCAAGCAATCCAAGTGTGGCTGTACATGCAATGACCTACAGTACGTACATGGATCGGGCCTCATTCGTTTATCCTGATGTAAGCGCACATCCAGTTGTCTCTACTACATCTATCCGCCACCTACTGGACCGGAGTTTATAAAGTGTCAAGCAGAGACAATCTCGCCGCCATGGTAAAGTTGGAGGCTCAGTTCTGTTACAGGCAAGGGTGACAAAGGCAAAATCATCGGGCATCGGAATCTCGAGACGTGCCAGACATCTAAGTCTATGTTGTGTGATTGCAATCCTTCATCTCAAGCTGTTTGCCTGGGATTTACCCCGTGTATCAGAAGATCGCCCACGCTGCATGGTTTGTCGCAGAGAGGAGGTTCGCGAGTGCGGCTCTCGATTTCGGGCTTGTGAGCCTCGGCTTTGACGACGTCGTGGCTCGTGCGTTCCGCCTGTCGTGCTTGGCGCCAGCCCATGGCAGCATGCGTTCGGGACCTTAGTGCCTTAGCGGCATGGAGAGGTGGCGAGAGGTGTGCAAGCTGCGAGAGGTGAGGTCTTCTGAGCTCAGACTTATCAAACGTGCATAAGCCGGGCGTTGACCATTCCCCAACTATGCGGCAGCACCGAGCAAGCCAAGGCACATCGCTCGAATCGACCAAGTCTCCAAATGATCGTAACAGCCCTTCGGTGTAGAGTTCAGAAATAGTTCACGTCTTTATAAGTAGGTCACATCGCCCGCTCGGTTTCCCTTTGCAAGGCTACCGTCTGATCCGTTTGGGAAACGGGATCGAAGCCCTCCTGGTGTCCAACTCCGATGAACAGAAGCAGAAGTCTGCCTGCGCATGCAGCATCCAGGCATTGCGCTGGAGTTTTGGATCAGGGTTTCATTGTCAGGTTGTGCCACTTTAGCAATTGAGGGATCCAGGGTCTCGCTGTCGTCTATTCCGTCCCGTTTGCAGGTTGGCTCTTTCAGTGATCCTGGTCATTGTCAGGGCCTGGCGCACTACTGCAACTTGCAAATCAAGTCGGATGACCACATGTCGGTCTCTGCTGCAGCCGTGGTCACGTCGGAGATGGCAAACTAAGGCGAACATATGATTTTCCTGGGAAGCAAGCGCTACCCAGGCGAGGCACAGTTCGAGGAGTTCTTGTCCGAGAACGGAGGGGAGTCCAATGCCTACACGGAGTGCGAGTACACCTGCACCCTGGTTGCACACTGGCGGCGTTGCCCCGGTGCACTTTGGCTGTCATGGCTGTTCTGGAGAGCTGAGCTTCCATAAGGCCTCTACTTTGACGTGAATCGCAAGGCCGGAGAATCGTCAGCTCGTTGCTAATCTGATCTGTCATGTTGCGAGGCCCTCCACCACGCCTTGAAGATGTTCGCGGAGCTTCTGCATGAGCCGCTCTTCACACAAGATGCATCTGCAAGGGAGCTCCAGGCACCGCAGCACCGCGGGCAGAATGTTGCTTACTGGCGCAGCGACGAGCAGAGTGTCAGGCCATCGAGTCTGAGTTTCAGAAGAAGCGAAGAAGCGACACTCGATTGGACTCTTATTTCCTTTCGGACTTGTTCCTGGATTTGCATTGGCTTCGCTGCAGTTGCAACACTTGGTACACGTTGGCACGATGGCAGACGAGGGGGTGTCATAAATAAGTACTCCAGGCGGGAGGCGTTACGTCTCGGAATAATTTCTGCGGAACACTTCGTTTTTGTTCGCACGACAACCATTGAAGGTTTCTGGGTTTAGGGTTTCTAGATTGAGGCTTTATGGGTTTAGGGTTTCTAGGTTTGGGCCTTTTCTGGGTCTAGGGTTTCTGGGTTCAGGGTTTGCAGGTAGAGTTTGTGGATGTGGGCTTTTTGGGTTTGGGGCTTCTAGGTTCAGGGGTTTCTTGGGTTTCTGGGTTTCGGGTTTCTAGGTCGAGGGTTTATGGATTTAGGGCCCCGGAGCTAAGGGTTTAGGCTCAGGGGGTTTATGGGTTTTCTGGGGCTAGGGTTTCTAGATTCAGGTGGTTTTCTGGGTTTAGGGTTTCTAGGTTCAGGGGGTTGCTGAGCTTCTGGGTTTAGGACTTCGTTTCTGGATTTGTTCCCCAACAGCGTAAGCTATGGGTTCTTAGGTTTGGCGCAGATTGGGGCAAGGGCTCCAGCAGGTTCCGGGGCGGTTCCGCGATAGGCTCCGGCAGGTTGCGCGACGGTTTCCGGCCGGGGTTGCGGCAGGTTGGCGCCCCGCCCGGAACCTACCGGAACCCGTCGCAGAACCGCCCCGGAAGTTCCGGGCAGGTTCTGTGAGTTCTGGGGCAGTTCCGCGACGGGTTCCGGCAGGTTCGGGGCGGTTCCGCGCTAGGGTCGGGCAGGTTCCGGGGCAGTTCCGCATGGGCGGTGCAGGTTGCGGGGCGGTTCTGCGACGGGTTGTGGCAGGTTCGGGGCGGTTCCGCGCTGGGTTCTGGCAGGTGCCGAGGGAGTTCCGCGATGGGTTCCGGCAGGTTCCGGGGCAGTTCCGCGATGGGTTCCGGCAGTCGGGCAGTTCTGCGATGGGTTCCGGGCAGATGCTTCCGCGATGGGTTCCGGCAGGTTCCTTCAGCGATGGGTTCGGGCAGTGGGGCGGTTCTGCGACGGCTGCTCGGCTACTGGTACTCAGATTTTTCTAGTGTCAGAAGATGCTGCAGCGTTTGCTTTTTGTGCCACCGATGCCGTGACGCCGAACCTTACAGTTTCAGTGCCGGGACAGTTAAGAAGCAGCGACAGGTTCAGAGTGGTTTCTAAGTCTTTCAAAGCAAAGCAGGACAACATGTGACCGTCCTCTTAAGAGAGATCCATTCTTGTTATGGAATGAAGTGCTTGCCTTGCTCATGAATGCACCTGTAGAGGACTCACGAAAGCCTCGGTGTCATTTAGCTCAGAAGCTGCTTTCTGCCATGAAGCTGGGCGTGCTCTGCCAAGGATGAAGGCTTGCTTGGCATGCTCTGCCAAGGCTGAATGAAGGCTTGGAGCTCTGTGTGAGTTCTGCGTCTGCAATGGCTTCTGACACGCGTGTGCCCACTTAGATCCAGTTGTTTGCCTGCGCTGATACATGATGCTGACCAGGGATTCGCAGTCTGGCGCTCGTAGTAGTTTCCTCCAGAAGCATCAGGGACCATACGAAACGAAGGACGCCGTCGATGCTGCCGCTATGCGGCTATGCGCGAGTGGTTCCCAAGAGTTTGTAAAACTCTACAGGGTTCCGGCTAGGCTGAACTTGTTGCCGCATGACGCATCGCCGGGGTCGATGCTGCCTTTGTCCTCTCGCTGGTGTATAGGTTCCTCTTGAGACGCAGCCTTGCAGCACCAAACGCTACTGCCACGCAGGGGCATCAGCTTGCGGCGCCCCAACATGTTCAACTACAGCGACTCCGTGCTCTTTCTGCTTCCGGGCTTAGGATGTATGGACGGACTCAACAAAATTACGGAGCACATGTTTCATGTCAAAGCTATATGTACAATCGTATGCTTTCTCGCTTCAACACCCATCCGTAGCCCATCGCGAAAGAAAAGTGAAAGATCCCAAAAAGTGTGTTACTCGATTAGCTGCCCTGCCAGGCAGCGTCGAGTCGGGTGCTGCTTGTACAATTGGCCTCCGTGTACAGTTCGATGAAGCCTTGCGGGGCTCCGTGTGCACGTAAACCGTTTTTTCCGAAAGCCGTAAACCCATAACCCTTCAGCTTAAGCGGTTGCTTTTCGTTTTGCACGAGTTTTGCCATATTTTTGTTGCTCGATTTTCTTTTTCTTGTTTGCACATGGCATGGCCTGTCCATGTGTTTGCGGCCCACGTTGCGCTTCTCCCAGGGCAAGGCAAAAAAGCAATCAGAAAAGGAGCAGAGAATGGACAGCAGGCGCAAAGCGAGTACAGCAGGAGTAGAGCAGGCACAGCAGGCACATCAATAGGTAGAGTACGCTGCACCGACTGCTGTTGGCGTGCTCTTTACTGGAGACATGTGGTGGAAGAGGCTGGGCATGTCTAGCAGCTCGGCAGTAGACCTGGACGATGCTCCACAAGACGTCGTGGCCACGACAGAGGAGTATGAAAGACAGGACAAGTTCGGGGGTCTTTGGCGTGGCAGGCAAGAGCCCCTGAGAGAGCGCCGCCTGGCGGATGTGATAAGCACTGAGTGGGGCGCCCGAGCACGGAAGCTGGTGCGAGAAAATGATCGCACGTACATTTATTGTCGCTGTCAACATTGTTGCAAGATGGTGGTGCAATACCGCGTCGATGCGAATGCTGGCACTCATCCGGGAAGCCAAGAACGAGCGTGAGCTGAAGCCTGACATGCGTGAGAGCTACATCAAACCCAAGCAGATGGAGGACAAGGTCCCGCAGGTTCTGGAATTTGCAGAGGCATTGAAAGACCAAGAAGGACGCAACAGCTGGGGATACCGTGTTCTCGACATCGACTGGCGCCGCAAAGCTTGGCTGAAAGTGAATCTCGAGAACAGCTGTCACTGATTTGGAAGCTGCAACGACGTTTCGAGTTCGATTACTTGACCCTTCGGTAGGTAGGTAGGTCGGTCGGTAGGTAGGTATGTAGGTGGGTAGGTGGGTAGGTGGGTAGGTTGAGGTAGTATGTCGATTGGTTGGCGGTAGGCAGGTAGGCAGGTAGGTAAGTAGGTAGGTAGGTAGGTAGGCAGGCAGGCAGGCAGGCAGGGAGGTAGGTAGGTAGGTACGTAGGTAAGAGGTAGTTAGGCAGGTACAGTAACGACTGCTACGACGCGTAAATACGCAGACTTTAAGAAGACTCACAAGAAACTCGATGTGATTACCTGCTTTCGAACGCCGTGGTGCTGGGCATACTCTGCAGGCTTGGAACTGGGTGCGAGTTGAGCGTGCGGCAGCGCCTGCAATAGCTTCTGACAGGCATGTGTCCGCTTAGGCCCAACTTTTTGGCAGAACTGATGCATTCTGATTGTCTGTCGTGCAAAGCTTGGCTCAAAGTGCATCTCCATAAAGAGCTGTGGGTGCTTTCGGGCGCAGAAGACATCGCTCGAAATACAGGATTTGAATCTGCAGTCGGTGAAATCAGCTTCATTTCGAGTTCGAGTTCTGGATCCTCGCGTGATTCAGTAATTTCAGTACCAATACGAACGGCAAGGTGTCATGAAAACTGGTGAGCGAAGGGAGGCTGGCTTAGTCTACACCGACCCCACAGTGTACTGCCTGG